TTTTTTCAAGAATGACATCTATTTTTTTTTCCAATTCAAAGTATTTTATTTAATGCTCCATAATTTCCTTTTTTATTTTAATTAATTGATTTATTTTTATCCAATTTTCCTATTAAAGTTTGATTGGAGTATTTAAGTAGAATATTAAATATCATTAATTGAGTTAAGGGGTTATTATAGGTACTTCGATAATTGGACCCCAACTTTTTATTTCCGTTCCCCCTTCTCTTATACCACCTCTGTTTTTTTAAGTTGACACATTTTGACTTTACTAGTATTCACTCACACCCCTTTGACCGTGTTTTGTGCTTTATACGTAATGAAAAATATAGTAATGTGAGATCTTGTTAGATTCGTAACGATATATATTTTCAAAATATTAAATATTTATAATTTTTGTTTATTGGTAATTAAAGATATTAATGGTTGAAGTTGTGCATTGAAAAATATGACTAAAGAAACATGTCAACTAAAAAAAACGGAGGAAGTATAACATAAATAAAAAAAAGTAATTTGAGTGATGATGGCTAGAATTAGAGAGAATATAATGGTATTTATAACTGACACTTTTAGTGCCCATTACAAATACCTTTATTTTAATTTTATCAATCATGTTTTGGACATTTTTAGTAGTTGTCACTTTTGGGCCCGTTACAAATATTCATGCATTTGTAATAGACAATACCTTATGCCCATTACAAATAGTCGGGCATTTGTAACTAGCAATTTAAGCGTCTATTGCAAATACCATGTTATTTCTTATTTGTAATGGACATTTTTACTACTCGTTATAAATACCTTGTTATATGTAAAGTAATGGCTTGTGCCTAGACCTATCAATTTTCGACCCGACCCGTAAATTCAACCCAAACCCGACCTGTTTTTGTGGGTCTTGAACAAAGTTTCTTGACCCGTAACCCTATTTAACCCAAACCTATTTAACCCGCATATTTGCGGGTCAAACTTGACCCGTGACCCGATTTATGGGTTTTTTTTCTTCTAATAAATACATTTATTTGAAAATTAATATTAGTTTATTGATTAAGTTTGATTGTTTGTCTACCATCGAACATTCATTTCATCTCTTTCTTATTTATTTATATCATATAACTCATTAACTCTTGCTTAAATCCACACTAATCACCTCCTACACTAATTGCATCCGTATAACACCCATCACAGTCATACCACCGATTGACGGGTCTACTAATATTATGGTAAAAGATATTACAGTCCACATATAAAATAATAATAATGTTGGTCTCTTCCTTAAATTTTGGGATGTTGAAAAGATTTATTTTTAAGTTTATTATCATTTTTTTATTAGTTAGGAATTGATGTGCTTTGGTGGAATGGGGTGACTATTTAAATTATGTAGTATGTAATGGCTACAAATAATATGGTGATAATGTTCGACTAAAAAATTGGAAAAAAAAAAAGCAACGTAAGCTTGAAAAATCAGAAATTTTAAGAATAAGCCAAAAAAAATTAAATAAAAAATTGTTTTAAACCCGCTGGGTTGACCCGAACCCGAAACTTTGGATTAGAATTGAGAATTTCTCGACCCGTGACCCGAAGTGACCTGACCCGAAATGACCCGTGACCCGGAGCGATCTGACTCAAATCCGACCCGACTGACAAGTCAACTTTTGCCCATTACGATAAGTAATTTTTTGTCTGTACTTATATATTACCTTTTTAATCTTTCCACTAATCGTAGGTTGTGTTTGTGGTTTGTTAAACCTTGTCGTTGTTCTAACTTTGATTCTTGAGCTGAGCCTTGGGAAGTTTGTCCTTGTATCATTCAAGTTCATTAACTCATTTTTCATCAAGAAAACCGAATGCATACAACCATGATCATACTAGTATAACAATTCTATACTTAGCTTAATAGCTTTGGTGGATTAGACAAATAGACAAAAAAAGAAAGAAAAAATAAACCCCTGCCCTTCAAAATCCACAACAAGTGTTCCTGTTCAAAGGAATAGTGATATCCCCTCTCAACCTTAAGCTTTGCATATTATTTACGATATTGCCATTTTCTTTGTTGACTTGCTTTGACCCTTTTTTTTAAAAAAAAAAAAAAAAATTAGAAAATAAAAGGGGATGGAACAAACGAGTAATCTGTCCTTATTTTATGGCATTACATTGTTTGCATGTGTTTAGAGTGGATATAGTTTAGGTGGAAAAGTAATTCAATTGATTTAACTTATTGGGATGATTTGATGAACAATATCTAACTTTTATTATTTAATTTCAATGATTGTTTCTTGGGTAATTTTTTTTTTAACATTATTAAATGTATACGATTGTTGCTTGACATGCATCTATGTTTTGTGTTTGAATGTAGTTGTGTTTAAAAATTAATGAGTACTGTTTTGAGAATATTTCTATATGCTATGGACATAGAGGTTTGGAATGTATGCATGTATCTTTGATTTGGTTCTATGTGGATTTGTTTATAATCTTTTTTCGGTTTTTATTGACATGGGTTGATTAGATTGTTGCAGTTTAGGCATTGATTAGATTGTTGTAGTTTAGGTATCTATCATCATGTAGTGAAGTGGTTTGGTATAAATGAAATTTGAGTCATATAAGTTAGAGGACGCCCCCATTACTCACTGTGAGAAACGTTTTTGTTTCTCACAGTGGCAGTTTCATAAATAAAATGTACCACTTTAGTCACGGTGGTACATTTTATTTACGAAATGAATGATAAAATTGTACCACTTTAGTCACCGTGGTACATTTTATTTACAAAACTGCCACTGTGAGTAACAGAGATTACCCTATAAGTTAGTGTTTATTGACTGAAATTGAGGTTTATAAATTAGTGCTTATGGATCTAAATTGAGATTTATAAATTAACTACAGGTTAAGGATGCACCGCTTACACAAATAGTGATGCCTATTCATCCTTTGCTAAAGCAAATTACCTGTTCTATGAATTTCCCTGATCTGGATTACCAATTGCTTGATGAACCTAGGAGCATTGCTTATGGTTATTAAGGCAAATACTGATCTTGTTCCAACTATTTATGTTGGTGGGGATACAGTTAATGTAGAAGAATCTTGTGAGATTGCAGCCAAAAAGGTTGTGTATGATCTTATGAAGAAGTATGAGATAGATATCGAGGATGTGATAGCCATACATACGCAAATGTATGATCGTTGTGGTCAACTGTATTTGTGTAAGAAGGAGGAATTTGAACGGATTGAGAAAGGAGAGGCAAAGGTTTGTATGCATGATCATGTATCTGTTGAGCTTGGGAACAAGAGTAAGAAGATAGTTGTAGACTTCCTTGTTGTATTAAGGGCTATATTTAAGTCTGTTGATATAAGGTGCACTCAAATTGAGACTATTGAGCTATAAATATACTTCTTCGTTTACTGTTATTCATCATAAGAATAGTCCAAGCTTTCGATGTTTATTTAGTGACTACTGTCTAAGTTCAGTTGCAGCAAAGCAGAACGTGGCTAGAAAGGCTGTTGATATCTCATTGGCAACGACATGTAGGTTTGATGTTATATTGTGTACTTTAGAGAGGGAGTGTTATCTAAGTGTCAAGGAACGAGTGTTAGGAATTAAAGAAGATTTGGAACCTTCTAGAATCCTTGTTGAACAAGATTGTGTAACTCTGCTTGGAAAGGAATTTCAAGTTCCAGTGTCTATTCCACCTATTTTCCCTCTGAAGAAGCGTTCTCTACGATCTGTACTTGCAGATTCTTCTAGTGTTGCTGATTCTGACTGTGAAATGTTTCCATAATATGAGGATTTCAATGGTCGTTTCAAGCGTATAAGGTTTTCAAAGGACTAGTTGGTTTAGATTACAACTTTGGTGCTAGGAGTTATGGTTATGTATTGTTTTGGTGTTTTTGTTTTATTATTATTATTAGAAAATTAACTTAGTTTGTTTAAGCATTAGTGCATTGTTGCTTTTTGAATGTATGATAGAGTTGTAAGTTTGGTTATGCTTTTGTATTAAACTCTTTAGTGAAAAGAAGTATGGAGTTGAGCTTAAGATGTGTGGTTGTATAATTGTTGTAATGAATTTCATATATATTATAGTAATAATTCCTTGCTATGAGTTTATGGTTATCAAAGATCTTTTGGATTTGCATTTTATAGCTTTGCTTATATTTATTCAAGTATACTTTGAGATATTAACCTACTGTATATTATGTTATGAAAATTCAGGTGTTATAGACCGCAACTTATGTGTATAAAATATCTTCGGTAATCTAATTAGTTTATTAGAAGTAAGAAGAGAGTTTGTTGGAATTTGGAGCGTGTTGCAGGATATGGGTAAGTCCTATTATATGCATTTAGTGATTCATAACTAAAGCTGTTAAATTTATTTTTAAGTGGTTTAGGCATATGGACTTATAAATTTCATGTTAATTAATGATCATCTATACCGATTATTACACACACCCTCATCATCAAGAAGTTTAAACACTAAACATCAAAGAGGTTTACAAGTTGAGTATATTGCTGAGATGTTGAGGTATTCGGTGGGAAATCTTCTTTAAAATAAATTGACATATTTAGAATCATGTGTTTTTTTTTTTAAAATTGTTGTTTTCTATAGGTTTGGTGTTTCTATATGTACAATAAATTAAGTGTTTGTTATGATTGTTATTTTAAAGATCGCAAGAAGAATTCAATAGTAGACCTGCTAAAATTCCAAGAACTAGACATCCATTGATAAGTAATTATGATGCAATTCATTTTTCTGTCATACGTTCTTCTCATTTTCTGCAATTCAGATGTTACAATGTAATCATTTGCATTTCTTATATTTTAATCAGAGGTTCCAGCTGCTGTGGTTGGAAAAAAAATCCCTTCTCAAGCTTATCAACTTTCTGCACCAACCTAGTGTCATTGGTGTAAGGTAAAAAAATTTGAGCTTGAAACACTTCATTTTTGTTGCTGCAATGGTGAAGTCAAAGTTGTTGTCAATGAGTATCCTTCACAGCTTGTAAGGTTGTTTACGTCTATGGATGAGGATGCAAAACATTTCAGACAGTATGTGCGATTATACAACAATATGTTTGCTTTTACTTCGTTGGGTGGAAATTTTGATGCAAAGACTAAAAAGAGAATCTATGTTTTCAAGTTGCATAGCCAAATCTACCATTACATTCCTAATTTAGTTCTAAGAGATGCAGGGCCAAAGTATATGCAACTTTATTTCTATAATGGATAGCACAAAATGGCTAATCGCCTTGGATATTTTCCAGAATTAAGTGAGGATGTCTTGTCAATATTGATGGAGGTTACTGGAGTAAATCCATATACTCGATTCTTTCGATCGTTAATAGAAATTCCAAAAACAAATTTTGTTAAATAAAACCTCAGTTCCAGATCAACATGTTTATAGCGCACCTACAACAAATGAGGTTGCAGTTATTTGTCCAAAAAGTACTTCTTCAAGTGAATCTGAAAGTCCACACATATTGGTTACTAGTCAAAATGATTGTTCTGATAGGATAATGCAATATTATCGTTGTTATGATCCTCTGCAATGTCCACTGTTTTTTCCATATGGTGATTGTGGGTGGACTCAAGGACTTAAGAAAATGTCTAGGGGTGGAAGCCAGCAGATACAGTCTTAGCCAGATCTTGTTTCTTCATACACTGTGCATACTACTGAAGATTTATTAGAAGAAGAGGCCATACGTATGTCATTTATATGTTTCTGGTTTTAGGTACACGTTTTCTCTACATCATCATTTTATTTCTTTATATAGTATTTTTAGGAGTTTCTTATCACCGAATGTAATGGGTTTTTTTTTGTTTCCACTATGGATTTATTGGTGCAAATGGCAGTTCACCTAAGACAGATAGAAATATTTCAGCTCGGAAATACTATGCATACAAGCTTCAATGTCGGCCCAATAATTTACTACTGAGATCTGGAAGATGTTTCCAGCAATATATTGTTGATATGTATGTGAAGTTAGAGAATACACGATTAGATTTCTTTCGTAAAAATCTACAGACAATAAGGGATGATCTTTATCAAGGACTTCTCGATACTATTGATTGTGGAGAAAATTGTGCAGCAAATGTAGGGAGAAGAATCATATTACCTGCAACCTTTATTGGTGGCCCTCGTGATTTGAAGAAAAGATATTTGAATGCAATGTCATTGGTTTAGAGATATGGCAAGCCTGATCTATTTATAACAATGATATGTAATGCCAATTGGCCAGAAATAAAACAAGAGCTTGCTGTTGGAGAAGAAGCACATAATAGGCTAAATATAGTTGCTAGAATTTTTAGAGCCAAGGTACTTACTTTAAAACATTTAATAAAAAAGAAAAAGTTGTTCGGAGAAGTGGATACAATGATCTATGTCATTGAATTTCAGAAAAGAGGTTTACCTCATGCTCATTTTCTGATTATATTGAAGCCTGAATTCAAAATCAAGTGTCCTGCTGATTATGATAAATATGTGTGTGCTGAAATACCATCTATTGAAAATGCATATTTGCGGCAAATTGTGATTATACATATGATGCATGGTCCATGTGGTCATCTAAATCCAGAATGCCCTTGCATGAAACATAAAGAAAGTCTTGGTAATTGTAAGTATGGTTATCTAAGGAAATTCTATGATGAAACAAGAAGTAACAATGATAGATATCCTCTGTATCGTAGAAGAGCTAAAGAAGAAAGTGTTACAGTTCAGAAAGTTGTAATGGATAATAGATGGGTAATTAATATAATCCATATCTTTCATCATATTTTAATTGTCATTAAATGTTGAAGTATGCTGTTCTATAGAGGCAGTGAAATACCTGTACAAATATGTCTACAAAGGACATGATATACTATCTTTCAATATTGTTGAATCAAGAGATGGTAATCCAGTGCAAGATGAAATTGAACAATATCAATCTGGTATATGGGTTTCACCGTCTAAGGCTACATGGTGACTTTTTGGTTTTGATTTGTATGAAACGTAACCCCCCCCCCCCCCCCGCCCAGTTTTACCTTTTTCTGTTCATCTTCCTAACTCACAAGGCTTACATGTCAGACCTCATGAACAACAGTTGTTTTAGATGATAAACATTCTAGAACTTGTTTAACAGAGTTTTTTAGAATGAATTCTAAATTACCTCTTGGGACAGGTTGGTTGTACAATGAATTTTCAGAGCATTATTGTTGGGATGCATCAGACAAACAATGGTATAAGAGACAAAAAAAAATAGCCATTGGAAGGCTAGCTTTTGTTGGACCTTCAATTCAGAGGGTGAAAGATATTTTTGCGATTATTGCTTCATAATGTTAGAAGTCCTAAATCATTCGAAGATCTGTGTACAGTTGATGGTCACTTGTGTGACACTTTCCAACAGGCAGCACTTAAGCTTAAATTATTAGAAGAGGATGATACAATTGAATTATGCTTAGCAGAAGGATCTGACATACAAATGCCATTTGCAGTTCGAAAACTATTTGCCACATTGCTTATATTTTGTTAGCCTAGAAATCCTCTATCTTTATGGATAAAATTTTATAGTTCTTTGTCTGAAGATTTTCAACGTAACTTAGTCTAAAAAAGAGGAGTTGAAGAGATCTTTCTAAAGTCGAAGTCTTTTAGTTCTCAATCCTATATATGTTAATATCCTAAAGATCCACATAGAGTGAAGCACTTTACTATCAGATCTATTGAACAATATGTTGAGTCAATGGGAAGTTCTCTTTTTGGATTAGACCAATTAGTAGAAGATGATAGTGAAGAGATGCATATAATTAAAGGTATTGAGGACGCATTGAATACTCTAATACCGGAAGAGTGTTTGAAATGTAAAGATAATTTAAATCAAGCTCAACGATCTGCATTTGATGTTATAATGGATCATGTAACAAAAGAGAAGCCTGGAGCTTTTTTTATAGATGGTCCTGGTGGTACAGGGAAATTTTTTCTATACAATGCCCTATACAACGCCCTATTCGCAGAAATAAGATTGATGAATAAGATTGTTTTACCAACGGCAACTTCAGGCGTTGCTGCAGCTAATATTCCTTCTGGCAGAACTGATCATTAACTATTTAAAATGCCCTTAGATCCGCTTTCCTCTCTTGCTTGCAATGTTCCTAAATAGGGCAGTCTTGTTGCACTATTAAGGGAGACAACTTTAATCATCTGGGATGAAGCTTCAATGGCAAAGAAAGAAAATATCAAGTCTCTTGATTTATTACTGAGGGATATATGCAATCTAGAGCTATTGTTTGGGGGTAAGTTAGTTATTTTTGGATGGGATTTCAAATAAGTTCTTCCTGTTGTTCCACGAAAGAAGCAACAAGAAGCAGTTGCTGTAAGTTTAGTTAGTTCTGCTTTGTGGCCACAGTTGGTGAAATTTAAACTGACTGAAAAATATAAGAGCTAAACATGATCCTCCATATGCAGCTTTCTTGTTGGCACTTGGAAATGGTGAATTGCAAAATAGTGAAGATGCATTTATTGAGCTACCATCGAGTATCGTTAAACCTTGTAGTATTGATATAGCTGATGATGTACATCTTACTGCTGTAGTTTTTCCAGAGATGGATATGCCTCCATTCAATTTAGATATTTTTACAACAAGAGCTATATTGACACCGATGAATGATGATGTTGATGTCATTAACTCAGGCTTGATCGATAAATTTCCTGATGAGGCAGTGGTGTATAAAAGTTACGATGCAATGATCTATGATAATTGTGCCATTTATCCAGTTGAATTTTTAAACAAGCTATGTCCCGGTGGTATGAGTCCTCATGAACTCATATTAAAAGTCAACAACCTAGTTATTTTGTTGAGAAACATTCTTCCATCACCTGGCCTATGTAATGGAACAAGACTAATATGTAAGCGATTCTTTCATAATCTTATTGAGTATGTCATTGTTGTTTGTCAAAATAAAGGGCAACACGTATTAATACCGAGAATTAACTTACGACCATCAGAATCTTCAGGTTATGCTTTTTATTTTCAAAGGAAACAGTTCCTTTAAAACTAAGTTTTGCAATGACAATCAATAAAGCTCAGGGGCAAACACTTAGTAAGGTTGCAATATACCTTCCACGATCATGTTTTTCACATGGTCAATTATATGTTGCCCTTTCTAGAGCACGAGAGTCAGCTAATGTCAATGTCATACCTGAAGCAAGCACTAAGCAATAAAATTATGGTTTTGTGAAAAATGTCATATCCTTTGATATTCTTCGAATGGCAGGCATTATTTAATTATGTCGATTGGTAATTCAACAATTTTTACTTACAAATTAGCAAAAGTTACAATATGCATACTTTCTAATTACCATATATAAAATGCTAAATATTATACGTAGCTTATTTCTGCTATTTAAATATAGAACAGACAATATCAAATAATACATTATTTTGTGAGTATTCTCTTCTAGAAGCATTTCTATGTTGGGTTTCGTAGTGTCCAACGCTACGCGGAATAGAAACCCACCCATGACCCGCTCACTAATTAAAGCAACTAAACATGCAATCACATAATTAACAACATAAGAGAGAGAGAGAGAGAAAGAGAAAAGAAATTCTTACCCTTGACGCGTGCTTCGCTCGATTCACGAGCTCTTACATCAAAGCTCGAGCCTCACAAGTGCGACTGCCTCCTACAACTCGCACCCTCCACTCGACCCGAACGGTCTTAATCCCGAAGGTTAGTCGGGACTTGACCAAACAAAACTAGAGTATTACGAACTTAAAGGTTTTCTCACTTTTCAAGGAGATGCCTTTTTGAGTTCAACTCAAGTGATTTTTCCCAAACCCAAAACTTAGGTATTTATAGGGAATGGAGACTTGATCTCCCTTCTCCCATCAATGTGGGAGATTTGCATTTTTATATATTTTCTTTTAACCAAAACAAAATAAAAATGCAATGCAATCAACAAGCTCCAAGTGGCACAAGGAGGGAGAGAGTAGGTGAAGACCACCAAAGGGAGGGACCAAATCACCTTGCTCCCCAAGCCACACACCAATTCCTTTGGTACCCTCCCATTGACCGGCTGACCATGCCACATGGCTAGCTGGCAGCCTGCCTTGGCTGCAAAGGCTACCAGCTGGCGCCTAGCACCAAGGCTGGGCTGCCGAGCCAACACGCCCATGCATGCGTGCAGCTAGCAAGCCACGCATGCGGGCTGATGCCTAGGAGCTACTATGTGTATGTGTTGGGCTGCTGCTATGTGTATGTGTTGGGTTGCTGCTATGCGATGCCTAGCACGCATAGCATGCTGCTGCTTGGTGCCCCAATGCTGGCACGCAAGCACAACATGTAGCGATGGCTGGCCCAACTTAGCTAGCAAGCACGCATAATGCTATGCGTTACCTGCTTGCGATAGCGAGGCCCCGCAAGCACTTGCGTGGTGCTGGCCTTGCGATGCTTGTGGTTGTGCTTAGCCATGCCTAGCATGATGCGATGGCTGGTGCTACTATGCAAGTGAGCACGCCCTTCCACGCATGGACAACTAAGCACATGCATGCATGGCCTGCGTCTTTCGATGCAAGTGCCATGCGGTGTGTGTGTGCTAGGCGATGCTAGGAACGCATAGGATGGTGACCTCGCCTAGCCTAGCACTCGCATGGCTAGGCTAATGCGAGGCTACGGCTTGGCTCGAACTTGTGTCTTGCTTGATTCCACGTCTCGTCGAATTCTAAATTCGACTAGACTTGCGATGCTCGGTATCGACGCTCTAAGCTCGATATCCGACGTCTTTGTTCGTAATACTCTAATGACTCATCTGATCCTTCGGATTGATTTGTCGATTCGGATAAGTTATTCGATTGTGGTGCGACCCGAAGGGTTCAGTTAAGATTAAGCCGTAACATGAATTATGCATTAATATTACTGATTGGAAGCGGCCTCCACCTAGGCATTCCGATCACTTGACCTCAGTGAAGAATTAGCTTTCTAATAATTTCGAACCCTCTATCTGGAAGGACACCATTCCTTTCATTCTATACTAATTCAAGTTGAAGGTTTATTTTGGGTTAATAATGTATGATTTTATTATTTATATTATTTATATTAAATAAACATTTTAAACAAGTTTTACTTCATGCTATTATGTGTCTACAATGATGTAGAAGCATGGGGCTCATCTTATCATTTCAAGTAGAGAAGCCTATTAAGTTAAATGTT